GACGACCAAAGGTGGGTGTTGTTCCTAGAGTTTCAATGTTGCTGTAAATAATGAAGAGGAAAGCAAAAATTACTTACTTGCGGGAAGTCTTGTCCAAAAGCAAAAATATGCGACAAACTCAGCTAAAGTAATGAACCTACCAGCAATTTAAGATCTGTGAAATGCATTCGGAAGCAAGCTTTCAGCAACTTCGCGGGATTTCTGCAAAAGTCATCATGCAAGAAAGGAGATGGAGCTTTCTGGCTTGGCGGCATACGAAAGAATTAAAGGTTGTCGGAGATTTTGTCTCCTAGTTTCAATACATGAAGCTCAAACCGTTTTCTTTAACATATTCGATTATCCAGCATTCAGCAGATGACTTTCGTTATCAGCACGCTCAATTCATCTCTGTATTACACAAGCATTTCACCTCAAGGTTTGCGTCGATAAATTCAATAAATCAATAGATCTAAGGATGAATATTGTTCGTAACCATTGTTCACTCACTTCCCTTCAACTCCCGGCCCTGTAGCTCAAAGTTAGCTACAAATCAAAATTCGATATCGATCGACAATCAAAAGTACATGACATACATGACATACATGTATTGTATGTATGTCATTTCATGCGGACACCAGTATATGTATCATGTCTGCGTGCGCCTGTATGAATGTACAACAGACACATACAGACAAACATAACTGAGTCTTATGGATATGTTTACATAAACAGTCGTTTCTAAGAAAAGATCATGTATTTATTATGATTACAATTTGGACTTAAATGACCTACATGAAAAATCTTGCTGCTTTTAAAAAGTATCCTAGTTTCACGAGCACAAGGCACACGCAGCAGAAAAGAAACAAAACATTAACTCAAATGAAAAAATAGCACATATGTATGCAGGGTGGCCCATATGGGCGTAACTACACGTAACCTTTTGGAAACATTTTAGCATTTTTTTTGTTGGCTCTAAGCATGTAGTGCTGTCTGTAATGCTATGTGTGTGCCGGTACTCTTGAACAGTTTTTGTCATGCCTATACAGTAACGGGCTAAGAGTTGTTTACGTCTGTTTGTCTGTCTGAATATGTGTCTGTCATGAAATTCATTGCGGCCAAGCTTTTGCGCTACAACTTTGGTCATGGCCCCCAATCAGCGTGTAGGTGAGATGTGCAAAAGCACAAGCCGATCCAGAAAGTGGAATCATTGAAAACTGTGCGTCAAACGGATCCGCGCGACTTTTGGTCTCAAACTGGGTCGGTGTTTGGACTGCTCGCAAAGTCGTGGTTTTGTTCAACAAGTAAATCCGAAAAACATTGACTTCAGCCCAAAAAGCAAGCAAAAAGTTTATTATCACACAAATTCGGAGCCAAAAAGGTGTAACTGCGCAAATTATCAATTCGCCAATTTTTTACTTTGAAAATTGAAAGGATTATTGAATAGGGATGTAGCCCAAGGTAGTTGTTATCCTTGTGGCGATTAGAAAGCGAATGATATCAGTACCCCATTCAAAATCGCATTTGTTCTTCTGCGGGAAAATTTTTCTTCCAAAATCACTTATCTTACAGGGAAAAGCTTTAAAAATAAACGGTTGTTTTCAATTCATTCGTAAATTACATTCGTACAGGAAGAAAATTTGCGTAAGCGAGCTCTCTGAGCGAGTAGTAGGTATACATCTCGCAAATAGCAAATCTTTGGTTTTTGATGTTTTATGTGTGTGTTTCTGAAGATACCCATATTTGCTCTTAATTCTCGTTTCGGCTAAATTTATATTTCCCAAACCTACATCATTCTAAACTTTAGTATCTCGGAGTGCAACGAGTGTATCTATATAATCGATTTACAAGTGCTGCGAAAAGTGTTGAACATTGTTGAAAGCAAAGCTGAATAGTGACTGAGACTGGTATGTTTTAGCACTTGCGGATGTGTCTCACACGAATGAAAAATTGATTTATAATTACAAATGTTATAAATAAATGGTTTCACATTAATTGCATGCAGATCGTTTAGCATCGAATGGACAACATAATTTTCTTTTCTTGTTAGCTGAAAATACAATGTTATGTGGCGATAATTTATGATGAGTTAGGGCACATTTTTAGATAAAGATTCCGGAAGACAAGGGTTTTAACTTGCTTAATGAACAGTGTTGCATTAACAATATCGGAAGGACCGCAGCTAGGACTGTCAACGTTTTATCTTAATCTACTTGTCTTAAAGCCGTATTCAAGCAATATTGAGCGGGTGGATCTCGCGTTAAGATTGGGATATGCTTTGACTTATCTAAACGCGAATGATTCATTCATCTAAAAATCACCTTTAGAACCCCGCTCTTTCGCTCCTTAACTAACGGACACAAGTGTGAGTTCCGGCGTGAATGCTATCAAAACAAAGCAGAGTTTTTTGCAAGATGTGGTTTATGACGTTAATGAAAGTCTTTTGGTAATTTTTCAACGTTTAATGAATTGTTCAAAAGCTTAGGCAATGGCTCAACCGAATTCATTCTTGAGTTTTCACGCTAGAAGTTACGTTCTCGACTTTAGCAGACCTGCGCTGTACCCCAAAATGAGATATTCGTCATGCTATGGCTGCTATAGCAACTTAGCGTTGGCAATTTGGCGCAGCGGTTATCTTTCTACAAATTAGTTCGGTATTGTACTTCATTTATGGCAAAAACGTCTGCACGATTCGCGTTTAGCCTGGCTGTAGTTGTTGTCAACATTCTCAACTGACATAGAAGTAAAACAACTCACAAACTTGTGCTTTAATCTGTGTTCCGTGTGTTCCGGCTTTTTCTTGCATCTTCTCTTGACTGCGACAAAATTTCAATTTCAGCTGCGCCCGCACCGCAGCCGATCTAAACATAAACGCTCCTCATAAAGTTTGACAGAAAACTCGATTGCAGAGTTTGCAGCACTCAGTTCAGAACTCGGCTGCGAAATTGCACGGCACGATGCCACCAGTATCACGCGAATTATCATTGGCTATACATGCTCGCTCATCCGATTTGCTTCAAGGCAGTATGGGCAAGAACTCAGTTTTTTAGCACCGCTTACCTAAAGTAACCGCTGCTATAGAAAATCTAGTCAGAGAGCGCGAAAAGGGCAAAAACCATTTCACAAACCACACATTTGAAATTAAACGTGTGGAAAAGTTGCCGCCAAAGGTTGAGAGCAGGGTTGTGCGGGTTGTTGCGGGGCCTTCGATTCTAATTGTGGTGACATGCGTATTCTGCTGCAAAGTAGGATATTAACAGATGGAGAGGCCATCCTAGCCCTGTCCCCACAATTTGGGCATAAGTTTCCCAACTTTCCGCCCATAGGCTGCGTTCATACTGATCCCGAAGTCCGGGAGCAGTTCCAGCACAGCGCTTGGAATGAGCGCTTGCTGAAACTGTTCCCGGATTTCGAAATCAGTCTGAACGCAGCCATATTTGCTTCTGGTCAAACGTTATGGTCTCGCACTTGCGCGTTGGCGTGTCCAAGGGGGTCCACTCGAATGACACTAACGTCCCAAAACCTAAAATCCTTCGACATTACGCGGAGAGCCAAAACTACCATCGCTTTTTGCATTGCTAATTTTCACCCAAGAAGCAGAAAATAGTAATAAAATAAACAACCATTGTATTGACGTCAAATTCTCTAATAGAGAAAATATTTGACATCATTCGTTTGGATATCTTGTGTAGTTTTCTACAATTTCATGGATCTCAAAAAGTACGGATTTTGTATTTAAAATGATATAGTCGAGGAAATCCGCTATCCCTGCGACTGATATCGCACCTCAGCTAGAAAAGTGCGCAAAAATTTGTCGGCGAAAGGCTACAGACGACGACCGTGATTACTGTACCATCTGCAATGGTTTTGCCGGCAGCTATGGCTTGTATTTGCACTGTTTAACATACCTACTACTTTCGAAACATTCTCCGGTGGTTGGTTCCGGTGGTTGGCTGCGGCAGCATTCGGCTGCCTGAGTACCACTTGCACGCCTTTCCTCAGTTTCTTGAGTACCTCATTGAAAATAGACGATTTGAGCAAGTATAACTTTTTAGCACCGTTCCCGCAAGAAAAAAATGTTTTCGCATACTTTCTGAGTCAGCTCCCATGGCTTGCATTTGCACTGTTTAACATACCTATACTTTCGAAACAGTCTCATTACGGACCCGATCGTGCGAGCCAAAAGTCATGTGGCATTGTTTGGTGAGGGAATTTTCTAAGCATCCAAGCCTTCAACCAACTGCTGCTTTTGCATGTTGAACCTACATGCTTTTGCATGTGTTATGCAAAACTTAAGCTTAAAGGCAGTGGATCGGCAAAACTTGACAACCCAAGATCTCAACGCAATAGGTTCCTTATCGTCCAGTTATGAAAACAATGCAATCCCGGTTGCACAGCATGCCTTTCCTGTCGAGAAAATCGCTCTCAAATTTACACGCGCAAGCCAATCTTACACGCACCTGGACGAGTTGGCAACATCCTTCTCACCATTGGAGGCTGCCCGCCGCAATGCTATAATCATAGTCCCGCAACGATTCAGCGCCATCAGCCTTGCTCCACTCGTCCAATCTTGAAGGGAAGGGGGTTGAGAAACGCTCGTTTTCGCCGTTTTCGAGCTTTCTAGAGTGGATTTTCGTGATCAGCGTATTGAATAACCCCAGGTAAGCGAAAATTTGAAAAGGTTGAGATTCGCCGAGCCACTGCCTTTAAGACATTGGCTGACACTCACTCTACAGATCTCGTAACAAACGCAGACACATAAACTCACGCAAACACTATTATCACATTACTAGAAGTTATGATTTTTGCACACTCAGACACTTCAAACTGGTTTGCGTTAGCACACTTTGCTAAGAACGGGAGTGAGCCATTATAGTTGGTTTGTTCATTTCTCTCTGCCCCAGTGAGGATTGCAAATCGAATGCACTCATTTCATCGAACAGAGTTTTTTGCATGCCGTAGTTCGGCCGTGTGCCTCACCCCTGCTCATCCTAACTCTCCTAGTATGTAATGCACTGCACTTTCTATTTTTTGCTCAAATACAAGCTTACCTCTGCTGGTTCTTTGATGACATTTGTCGAACCTGGCGATAGTATCGTTTTATCAGGAGGTAGCTCTTCTTGCGCTGTCTTTTCTTCGTTTATAAATTTGATTCCATGCGCTTTCCCTTTTGCGCGCCTCGGACTCGACTGTGTCTCCAAATTCGAATCTTTCAGTTGATGTTGGGTGCACTGCTCCTCAAACCATTCCCGGACGGTTTCGAACAGATTCTGTTTTTCCTTCACTCTCTCGGCATTGAGGGCCTTGCCCGCATCCTCTTCGATGTAAGACTGTGTTTTCTGCGGAGATTGTGCCGTTTCTTCCACTTCTAAAACGTTTGCTTGTGTCAGCAACGAGCTGGGTTTGGATCCAGACTCTGTTTTGTTCTTCTTCCTTCTCTCGTAAATGGTAAGCTCCGTTTTGTCAGAATCATCATTATGATGAATATTTCGCCTTTTCTTCGGAAACTTTGGTGGATTTCTACCACCTCCTCTCGTGACGGCTACAACACCAACTATTTCGAGTAACTCCTTGTTACTACCTTTTCTTTCTCTGTTTATCAATGGAGTGGAAACTTCTAGTAATTGAATAGGTGCTGGACTACGCTCGATACTCTCTGTAAAATAATTTTAAGTTGTGATTGCGTGCAAAAAAGACGAGATGATTCCAATGCTTGAAAATAAATCGTTAGAACTTGGACTCTATCGCGCCACAAGATTGTTCTCGCAGCCGTGCAATACTGCCAAGCCTTACAGAGGAGTGCTACAGTTTTTCCTAGTTCAGAAAAGCCATCCAATTTCGTGCATCAGCAGATGGAAGGACGGGGCTGCATCTGCCGCATCCAACTTGGTGGCAAATTTCTCCGCTGTGGATTCTTGTGCAAAACTACTTGCACACTTGCCTAGCTAGTGGATTCGCTATCACGAAACACCGAAATCTCACTACCCGTACCTTGCTACCTGACTTGGGTGTATCTGCGAATGCCTCACTTTTTGACGACGCAAGCCTCACGACTATTGTGTTTGAAATGATTGTTGACAAATTTTACGGTAAGCAGAACTTGGCGTTCATACGTATAAGTTGAGAAAGCATAATCTTTTATCGGAATTTGGACTTTTAAGGGAAGGCAGTGAACAGCTTCGGGAAGGCGTTGAATGTTTGCATGAGTAAAGTAGGGAAATCTATCAGTGACCGTACAAAACTGCGAACTTCGAAACTAATGAACGAGAGGAAGTTATGACCACTTTCTTGTTCTATACAAAATTACTCACCTTTGCTTTTTATTACTGGAGCCTCGACGGCCTGGAAAACAAAAGTTCACACAATTAATGTGTCATGAAGCCTTGTGCTAACCGTCATCATCACTGGGTCCGCCAGGTCCGTCATCTCCTCATTCTTCTTTTTAGACGAGCATAGACAGATTGTCTAAAGAATTCTTCAACTCACAAAATAAGTTCAAGACTCGCATTTACGTGTGCCATCAATGAAGCTACTGCCAGGGTATAAAGCATTGCCAGAGAAGAATCTGGCCAAAAGGTCAAATGCGACCACATTACGAGTGGTGTGTCATAACAAAATGAATACCACTTCGCATTTTCTCTATTTATACCCAAACAAACCACTGAGATAATATACCAGCTAAAACTCAAAGATAAGATCCGGTCATACTCATACGATTTTGCCACCGTGCGTTTTCTTCCGAGACGATTAAGGCCCCGGACAGACTTCACGCGATTTGATCGTCGCGACTGAACGCGACAAGACAACTGTCACAACATCATTCCATGCCGATCAACTTGCATTTCGGTTGTGATACTTTTTCAGCCCGAAATTTTTGAATGTGAAATGAATTCGAATGGAAATGTTGGCGATTGAGTCGCGACGATCAAATCGCGTGAAGTCTGCCCGGGGCCTAACGCAACTTCATTGCAAGCTTGCCTTTCAGGCATATCTGTTGACTTAACCCAAACCACAGGTCGCGAGTTTTTAAGCACACAAATTCAACGACATCGAGATATTTGCTCGCACTTTAGCGACATCATTGACTTGCAGCAACGGTATCGCTTGATTTGGACGCTGAATATTACCTTATGGTGGCTCCTTGTTTTGTGTGTGTCTGTATAAGAAGCCGTCACCAAAATTGCAACCAAGGTTTCAGATCAAAATTTTGCATAAAAGCGCAGTAACAAGTGTTACGCGAGCAGCCGCCTGCTGCCACAGCCAGCAGCCAGAGGGTTAGCGGAATTTGCTTCGGCTGAGCTACCGTCTAGATCACGGCAACATTGTACTCTCATACAATCACTGAAGGTTATTTTCACGCTGAGATGCGAGGATCCTCCAGTAGTTGTACGGTTGACACGAAGCGTATACCGATCAGCATCGCAAAGAATCTATGCTATACTAGCTGATCTGCCCGGTCTAGTTCGGGAATGATCACTGATCGGGAATGAAGATAAGGTATTCGGTGGCATTGTAGAAACCGTGTAAAGAACAACAACAAAATGTGAACACTTATTAGTCGGTAGCATATCTCTCTTTCTTCAAATTAAGTTCAACACGCAAAACCTAAGCAAGCAGCGCGAGTTAATTGATAGCAGCGCTCACTGTTATTATGAGGATCATTTTTTGTGACACTTTGCCGCTAACCGGCTACTTCATCTTCGTTCACTGCTTGCCGTCAATTTTTGTGGAGTCGGCAGTATTTTGCACTCGCGCACTTTCCTGGTCCCAGGGATCAACTATAGCGAATGTAAATGATTTGTCGCTTGTCTTGTCTTTGTTTCAAAGAATAAATACTTTATAACCGTTTCAATCTTGCTATGCCGTATAGGTTTGTTAGGATGGTATATTTATTCAAACCGGCCTAACGTTTCGGCGCCTTCGCCGTCCTCAGAGGCCTAAAAAGAACCCAAAGCATCACCTCCAACATCAGACCATCAGATGTCTCTTCTAGCTTGGCTAGTTTCGACTTTGTTTCAAATTCAGTCCGCAAAAACTCTTCAGACAGAAATGAACCCACCGTTATACCACCGCTATATGATGTGTCCGCACCGGAAGGAATTGACAGAGCGACCGGAAATGAGTGACAGAAGCGGACAAGTGAGAGATACTGTAGAGAGCAGACAGAGGATATGCTATCTACCATCTACAGCTCACATAGTGCTACGAACGGCAGAAAGTCGGCTGTAATAGACAAGCACTCGTTTTTATTATTCATTTCTGGATTCTTCGAGGATATCCAGAAAGATTCTAGTGCCTTTCTAGCCGAGATCTCTTTCTCATAGCTTAAGATTTTGCACTTGACTCTAAAATCTGCTCCATCATGTGCTTCGCCTTTATGTCTTCCCAAGGGTGTTGCTAAGCTCTTGCGTCTCATGCTTGCCAGATGTTCCTTTAGACGTACACTTAGTATCCTGCCAGTTTCGCCAATATACAACGCGCCGCAGTCCATGCATTCGAGTTGATATACGACACCCACTTTTGTACACTCCCCTTCTTTGCCATACGGACACACTATGCATTGTTCAGTTGCGCATTTCCTATCGTAGAGTCGATTTCGTACGAGCTGCTTTTTAATGTTATCGTTTGGTATGTTAACCAAAATGACTTCATTGAGCAGCTGTGCGCGAGCAATGCATTGATGAAAGGCCGCTGTGATCTTATCAGAGATGAACGGGAGGCATAATGGAATTTTGTTGTCGTTTCGAGTGCGGCTAACCTGCGCAAGACGTCTAGTTCGTGGAAATGCGCAATAACCATTACTGCGTGCGATTTCTGAGGCTAAGTGTCGTGCTTGTCGGCGTTCATCCTCTCCCGAGCACACCATGGCGGCTGTTTTGAACATATTTTTGATTACAGCATGTTTGACGCTACTAGGGTGCGCAGACTTAGCATTGATGAGGATGTTTTTGCAGCTATCCTTGCGGTACCATTTCATTGTTACAATGCCATTGGTCAACTTGATAAGAGTGTTCAAATAAGGCAACCAACCTTCTCGTGGTTTTTCGCGTGTGAGCCTGATGTACTCGGACTGTTTGTTGAGAATTTCAAAACATTTGTCCATCTCGGACTGTGTCGCTGTGATCAGACAACAGTCGTCGATGTATCGACAGTACATCATAGGCATTCGGCTCAACACTGGTTCTTCAATTTTGCTCATGAAGCAAATGGCGAGAATGGGTGCCAATCTCTGACCCATAGCAAGCCCTCGGATCTGAGAGTAATACTCTCCGGACCATCGAAAGATATTACAGTTCAAACAGGCGCTTACCAGGGTCATTACTCTCGCTTTGCTTAGCCCAAACATATTGATGGTTCCGGCATGTTTGTTTAGCATTTCCGATAATGCCTGTAACGCTTGGTGGTTTTGAACATTTGTGTAAAGTGCGGTAACGTCAAATGATTCAACCACACAGTTGGAATCAAGCTTTGCATTACGGATTTGCTCAACAAACTCCATCGTGTTGGATAAATGGGCTGGCACCTTAACCAGTAGTTGGCTGAGAATTTTGTTCAAAAACCATGATATACGATCGGAAGGGCCGCCTATAGAACTAATAATTGGTCTGATCTTATAAGTTTCCGCCGACATCGAATGCATACTCTCCAAGGATAGCTTATGTGTTTTTATGAGACTATAAAAGACTGGACAACATGGATTCTCTAATTTCAATCTACTGATAAATCTGTCATCAAAACCAGCCGATTTGCATATTGCAGTCCATGTGTCATTCAGCCTTCTGCATTGAGTATGATAATCTTTTTCAGAAACAGCCTTGTAGAGCGAAGTGTCCGCTAAATGTGCTCTCGTAATATCGCGATCTAGACTTTGGGGGATTACTACAAATTCGCCGCCTTTATCGCTTACGGACAAGCGCACAGAGCCTTTTGATATGAGTTCACGTATCTCTTTAAAACCACGTTGCTGTTGTTGAGTGAGATTTTTCTGGTGTTGTCGTTTGAATTTGTTCAAAACTTCCAAAACCCCAGAAGATAAGATACGGAATTTTATATCAACTTCTCTTACGGGCTCGGGTTGTTTGTAAAACGATCGCGGAAATGGAATTGCGGGTAGTAGTCTCCTAGTTTCGAGTGCACTTGATTGCAGACTATTTGCATTCTTCGCTTTGATTCTGAGCGAGTCTCTAAGCTTATGCAACCCTCCAACTATCTTTCGACAAGTTCTAGCATTGATCGACTGCGCAGGAGCAAATGAGGGACCAAGGCTCAAAAGGTCAATAGCATTAGGCGAAAGTTGAGCGTTGCCTATGATGGTGACTCTGGCCGTCGTAGCATCATTAGATGAAACTGATTTGGAGCAGTGGTCTGGTTGGTTATTCATGTCATGGAGATAATTTCTACGAGCATCATTCAAAAGGCGGTCGTACTTGGCTCGAAGTTTCGATTTGACATCAGACCGAATCATATCGCAGATTATCTTCGAGCCATCTTTAATCCTCTCCCATGTCCGACTAGGCAACAACCGTTCGCAGGCCTCCTCTTTTACAACACATTTTAATAAGGTAGAATACAATGACCGTTGCTTTTAACAACATTAAGAATGGAATGATAGATATTTAAAATCTTCGGATCATTCTCGCAAAGGCCACACGTACTTCCTATCTTCTTATTTCTTATGAAGGCAGGTAGAATATCGGTTCGCTTGCATCTTCGAAGAAAAACCAGCGACTGACGCATGGCTACTGCGTTTTGTCGGAGAGATAACGCTTCTTTGGTCAAACGGAATAGTTGTGGCGGTACGTTTTTTATCAATTTCCAAGTTCCGTTTTGTTTAAACCTTGGCATTGTTGATACGTTTCAATCTTGCTATGCCGTATAGGTTTGTTAGGATGGTATATTTATTCAAACCGGCCTAACGTTTCGGCGCCTTCGCCGTCCTCAGAGGCCTAAAAAGAACCCAAAGCATCACCTCCAACATCAGATCATCAGATGTCTCTTCTAGCTTGGCTAGTTTCGACTTAGCCTCAGAAATCGCACGCAGTAATGGTTATTGCGCATTTCCACGAACCAGACGTCTTGCGCAGGTTAGCCGCACTCGAAACGACAACAAAATTCCATTATGCCTCCCGTTCATCTCTGATAAGATCACAGCGGCCTTTCATCAATGCATTGCTCGCGCACAGCTGCTCAATGAAGTCATTTTGGTTAACATACCAAACGATAACATCAAAAAGCAGCTCGTACGAAATCGACTCTACGATAGGAAATGCGCAACTGAACAATGCATAGTGTGTCCGTATGGCAAAGAAGGGGAGTGTACAAAAGTGGGTGTCGTATATCAACTCGAATGCATGGACTGCGGCGCGTTGTATATTGGCGAAACTGGCAGGATACTAAGTGTACGTCTAAAGGAACATCTGGCAAGCATGAGACGCAAGAGCTTAGCAACACCCTTGGGAAGGCATAAAGGCGAAGCACATGATGGAGCAGATTTAGTACTCTGCGTTGATACCACTGCTT